TAAACTACAAGGTCTTCAGTGATTCTTCAGGATCCCAGATCTCTGAGTCTGTCAAGAAAAAGTACACAGAGTAGGGAATCAAAGTTGAGGATTGAATGTCATGGTGCAATTGCATTTCATACCTGCATACCTGTGTCTAATGATCTTTCAGTTTGCCCAAGAAATGTAAACTGTGTGTCCTTTTTTTTTCTCTTATGGAGGTAGTGACACATAATTTTCCATCAATGTCCCATCTCCAACTACAATGGGACAATGATGAAGGGATCCTACAAATGGTACTTCAAGTTTTTTTCACTTCTCATAAATTCTGACTCCTGCCTTGCCAGCTAAAGTGCGGGAAGAAATTGATCATGTGGTCGGCAAAAACCGAAGTGTGTGCATGCAAGACAGAAGCCGGATGCCCTACACGGATGCCGTGGTGCATGAGATCCAGAGATATATTGACCTCATCCCCACCAGTGTGCCCCGTGCAGTGACTCAAGACATTCGGTTTAGAGAATACCTTATTCCAAAGGTGAGAGATATTATGTCTATACCCTTCCTTAGGTGTCTTAGGCAATCAAATATCATAGCAGTAGAGCTGTAGATTGCCTAATCTTCTACAGGTATGGCATAGTCATAACTCAGGCATCCTACCCTGTAACCACATTCTTCTTTCCTTCTAGTTTTTCATACAAGTTTCTAAATGTGATAGTGCCAAGACTCCCACAGGATTTTCCATGCTTTGATAGCTCCACACTCTGCCTGTCCATTAGCCCAGTGTGCTATCCTGTCCCTTCCTTTCAAATTTATGTTTTATTACTCTTACCAATTAACCTGTATCCTGTATCCCACCCCTTCTCTACTGTCCCTATGACTTACTTGTGAAAAGTCCAATACAAAAGTTTCCTTCCTCCCTGCCTGATTATTAGCTACTGACCTGTGCTGGAAAAGACCATGCAGCCCAGCAGGTTGATATTGTTATCATCAATGGCAAATGTGGTAGTTTAATTTTTATCAATGCCAAAAGTATTGTCAATCTTACCCAACAATCCTGCTTTATAATCTAACTCAACTTGCTTCACCATACTCCACAATGACTTTCAACCTTGAACTCTTCTCAGCCTTTTATTATCTTACTTTTAATAGGTGACCTGCTCTTCCATCTCACAGAAAAATTAGTCACTAGAAGTGGATTCCTCTAGTGCTTTCCATTAGATTTATATACTTAGCTACATTTACAACTTTTGATTCTTTTTCATGTCAGTTGCTGTGACAGATGGGCTTTCTTTTGTTCTAGCTGATTTAACTGTGGCATGGATCCCTTCTTTCTTACTTTTTCAATTATCTTCCTTAAATAATTATTTCTTCTTCCTTCCTCTTCATCTTCTCCCTTTTTCCTGACTCCTTTTTATCAGCCTGTGAGCATAATCACTTCTCTTTTATTTATTAGTGACACCTAATAATTGTACATATTTTTGGAGAACAACATGATGTTTAGAAACATGTATGAGTTGTGTAATGATTACATTGGGTAATTAGTATCTCGATCACCTTTAACATTTATTATTTATTTGTGATGTGAGTGTTCAAGAACCTCTCTATTAGCATTTTGAAATCCATTTGTAGTAGTCTGTTTTCATGCTGCTGATAAAGACGTACCTGAGACTGGGCAATTTATAAAAGAAAGAGGTTTATTGGACTTAGAATTCCACATTGCTGGAGAGGCCTCACAAACATGGTGGAAGGCAAGGAGGAGCAAGTTACATCTTACATGGATGGCAGCAGGCAAAGAGGAAGCTTGTGCAGAGAATCTCTCATTTTTAAAACCACGAGATCTCATGAGACCCACTCACTATCACAAGAACAACATGGGAAAGACCCACCCCCAGGATTCAATCATCTTCCACCGGGTCCCTCCCATGAAACGTGGGAATTGTGGGAGCTACAAGATGAGATTTTGATGGGGATACAGAGCCAAACCATATCATTCTGCCCCGGCCCCTCCCAAATCTCATGTCTTCACATTTCAAAAGCAATCATGCTTTCCCAACTGTGCTGCAAAGTCTTAAATCATTTCAGTATTAACTCAAGAGTCCACAATCCAAAGTCTCGTAAGAGATAAGGCAAGTCCTTTCGCCTATGAACTTGTAAAATCAAAAGCAAGTTAGTTACTGCCTAGATACAATGAGGGTACAGGCATTGGGTAAATCCAGCCATTCCAAATGGGAGAAATTGGCCAAAACAAAAGGGCTTCAGGCCTCACACTAGTCTGAAATCCAGTAGGGCAGTCAAATCTTAAGGCTCCAAAATGATCTCCTTTGAATCCATGTGTCACATCCCAGTCATGCTGATTCAAAACATAGGTTCCCATAGTCTTGAGCAGCTCTGCTCCTGTAGTTTCTCAGGGTGTAGTCTCCCTCCTAGCTGCCTTCATGGGCTGGTGTTGAGTTTCTGCGGTTTTTCCAGGCACATGGTGCACGCTGTCAGTGTATCTACCATTCTGGAGTCTGAAGGATGGTGGCCCTCTTCTCACAGCTCCACTAGCTGGTGCCCCAGTAGGGACTCTGTATAGGGACTCCCACCCCACATCTCCCTTCTGCACTGCCCTAGTAGAAGTTCTCACTAAACACCCTGTGGAAACCTCCAAAGCTTGAGGCTTGCAACCCCTGTTGCTATAGCCAAAGTTCTATGTTGACCCCTTTCAGTCACATGTGGGATGCAGGACATCAAGACCCTAGGCTGCACATAGCACCGAGACCCTGGGCCCAGCCCATGAAACCACTTTTTCCTTCTAGCCCTTTAGGCCTGTGATGAGAGGGGCTGCCACAAAGGTCTCTGACATGCCCTGGAGACATTTTCCCCATTTTCTTGGTGATTAACATTCTTCTCCTTGCTACTTATGCAAATTTCTGCAGCCAGTTTGAATTTCTCCTCAGAAATGGGATTTCTTTTCTATTGCATTGTCAGCCTGCAAATTTTTGAAACTTTTTCCATTTGCATTTGAAATTGAATGCCTTTAATAGCACCCAAGTCACTTTTTTTTTGAGATGGACTCTTGCTATGTCACCTAGGCTGGAGTACACTGGCATGATCTCAGCTCACTGCAAGCTCCACCTCCTGGGTTCAAACTACTCTTCTGGCTCAGCCTCCCGAGTAGATGGGATTACAGGCATGCACCACCATGCCTGGCTAATTTTAGAAGAGATGGGGTTTCTCCATGTTGGTCAGGCTGATCTTGAACTTCCAACCTCAGGAGATCTGCCTTGGCCTCTCGAAGTGGTAGGATTACAGGCGTGAGCCACCGCACCGGGCCTACTTGTATTTTGTTAAGATTTTTTGCATCTATGTTCTTCAGAAACAACGGCCTGCAGTTTTCTTTTCTTGTTTTGTCTTTGATATTAGGGGAATCATGGCCTCATAAAATGATTATGGAAGGATTTCCCCCTTTACAATTTTTCAGAAGAATTTCAAAAGAATTTTTCTTGGAGATTTTTAAATGTTCGGTAGAATTCAGCAGTGAAGCCAAAAATGATAGTCTTTGGCTTTTCTTTGATGGGAGATTTTTATTACTGATTTAATTTGTTACTCAATCATTATCACTTTCAGATTTTTTATTTCTTCATGATTCAATCTTGGTACATTATATGAGTCCAGAAATGTTTCCTTTCCTTCTAGATTTTCCAATTTGTAAGCATATACTTGTTCATAATAGTCTCTAATGATCCTTTGCATTTCTGTGGTCCAGTTGTAATGGCCTCTTTTTCATCTCTCATTTTACTTATTTTGGTCTTCCTTCTTTCTTCATAGTCTAGCTAAGGGTTTGTCAGTTTTGTATATCAGTTCAAGAAAACCAAAACTTTCTTTCATTGACTTCTTCGTATTTTAGTTTCTATATCTATTTTATATTTTATTGATTTATTCTATAATATTTATAATTTTTGTCCTTCTACTTATTTTGGATTTGGTTCATTTTTGTTTTTCTAGTTTCTTAAGTTTCAATGTTAGATTGTTAATTGAGATTATTCTCTTTTTTGATGTAAAGGTTAATTGTTTTAAACTCCATTATCAGTACTGCTTCTACTGTATTTCATAGGTTTTTGGTATGTTGTACTTCCATTATCACTAGTCTCAAGAAATTGTTAAATATTTCCTCTTAATTTCTTCATTAACTCATTGGATCTTTATAAGCATGTTAATTAAGTTTTAGGTATTTGTATATTTTCTGTTCTTCTTCTTGATTGCTAGTTTCATTGTACTGTTTTCAGAAAAAAAGATGATTTGATTTTAACTTTAAAAAAATTGTTAAAACTTGTTTGGTAACTTACCATATGATCTATCCTGGAGAATGTTTCATATGCTGTATAGAAGAATGTGTATTCTGTAGCTGTTGGGTGGACTGTACTGTGCGTACCTGCTAAGTCAGGTCAAAGGAACAATTTAACACCATTGTTTGTTGTTTGATATTTATGTCTGAATGATCTGTCTATTGCTGAAAATGGGGTGTTAAGTTCTCTACTATTATTGTTTTGAAGTCTATTTCTTCCTTTAGGTCTATTAATAATTGCTTCATATATTTAAGTGCTTTGATGTTGAGTTCATGTACATTTATAATTTTTATAACCACTTGATGAAATTCCCCTTTATTGTTATATGATCACCTTCTTTGTCTCTTTTTACAGGTTTTAATTTAAAGTCATCCCTTGGTATTCATGGGGAATTGGTTGCAGCACTTCTTGTAGATATTAAAATGCATATATACTCAAGTCCTATAGTCAGTCCTGCAGAATTCATGCATACAAAATGTTGGCCTTTCCTATCCATGGCTTTTGCATCCCATGAACACTGTATTTTGATCTGGTTTATCTTTTTTTCTTTCTTTCAGGGCACAACAATCTTAACAGATCTGACTTCTGTCCTGTATGATGACAAGGAATTTCCCAATCCAGAGAAGTTTGACCCTGGCCACTTCCTGGACGAAAGTGGCAACTTTAAAAAGAGTGATTATTTCATGGCTTTTTCAGCAGGCAAGCAAGCTTTCTTTTTATGTGTACCTCAGGGGTCAAGTGAGGTAAGGAAGGACTCTGCATGGAGGCTACTCTGGGATGAACAATTTGCCATTTGCATAAGGCGAGAGGCACCACTCCCAAAGACCAGGTTATTTCTCATGGGATTGGTGACTATGTTCATAGATTCTGCCTCCTGGTCCACTATGTAGGTCATTAAAAGTTCCTCCTAGAAGTCCAGTTCTAGTAAAACTTTTCTCATTTACCCTGAGAAGCCAGTTCACTCAATAAACTTCACTGAGTACCTTATATATAGCAATGCTATGCTCAGGTGAATGCATACAAATGTGAATAAATATTAGATCTTTTCTCTAAGAGAAGGGAAAACAAATGAACAGGTAATGAAATTCCAAGATCACAAATGCTATGCTTGAGGTTTCTTTGGGAGTCCAGAGAAAGGGAAGGAGAGAGAGAGAGTGAGAGCGAGAGCGAGAGAGAGAGCGAGTTTCAGATGATTTATTTGAGAGGGATAGGGGCAGAATAGTTGTAAAGTAAGTGAAATTTTCTTGCAATAAATCACATTTGAGTATCTTCCTTCAATTTTTGATAGTCCTGGAAAGAAACATGCAGCAATGTCAAAAAGGTTAATAAAAGAGAGTTTAATAAAGAGATGGTTTTGAGAGGTGTGGGCCAAACAAGGGGAGTAACAAAATGTGGGGAAGAACTCAGGACTAACATCAGCAAGAAGATGTTACAATCCTAGATCAAAAGATTCAAAGGAAGGTTGCTGGCACCTGAATAATGAGCAGATTCCTCATCAAGAGAAGCGTCTATAGGTAGAGGGATGTTGCCACTGTCAAAACTAACCTGACAGGGTAGGATGGAGGGAACAAATACTCTGAACTTTTCAACATCTGAGCCTCTGAATGTATCCAGAACCCAGAAGGGAACTACCTCCTGGTTTAATGCAGTTCTTAGAGGTCAGTTTCCTGGGAATAGAAAGGCACAAGAGATAAATACAAAATGGATCTGGAAAGAGGAAGAAATGGAGAATATTCAGCACCCTTCAAAGAAGTAGGAAGAGGATAGGAGGGTAGAAGATGTTTCCAACAGAAATAACTGAAACAGAGACAATAGTAAGAGATTTGTTCCTGTTTAATTATATAAGAAAATAAGTGTAGAGCAAACCTTGATGTTGTGTTCTCAGGATTATGTGCATTGCCCAGAGATAATCTCAAAAAAAGCCATTGCTATGTGACTTCTTATCTGCTTTTGTATTTTGGAGTCCACTATTGCACCGTGAGCCTGCTCAAGATTTCTATTCATTTCACATGGCTTGCAGGGCAGCTTTTGTCCTGACAGTGGGTATTACTGTGTGTATTATAAGATCTAAGGGTTTACCTTAAGAGTTTATATTCCAGTTTGTAAAACAGATGAATAATTGACAGTTCATGTGAAATGTAGTGTATTAGAAGCATTAATGAATATTGTGGAAAACAGATGAGAGCGTGAATTGTATGTCCTGATGTATCAAAGAAGATTGCATAGAATAAATAATATCTGAGCTGAATCTGGAAGAATATGGGGACTATTGGCAGGCAGAGCAGAGTAGGAGACCATTCCAGGTAGAAGAATACCTGGAATCTGAGAGGAACCTTGAAATTGCCAATCTGTTTGGGGAGTGGTGAATCATTAGTAATGGCTGGGGTGAGGGGAACTGGGTGGAAGATGTGGAAAGAAATGATGCCCTAAGAATTGCCTGTGGCCACTTGGTGACATTTCTTTTTATACCTGGCAATAATAAGCTCTTGACTATCTTTTTAGAGCAGATATGTGGCAAGATTGATTATCCTTTAGAATCCAGATAAGGACAAATAAATCTATTTGTCAAGTCTAGGGTCAGAAGTATATGGAGAAGTAGATACAATATGTGTGTGTGTGTGTGTGTGTAAAGGTGTCACTGGCAAGCTGCAACACAGCAGTTCCAATGTGCATGGACAGAAAAGATTTTTTTCATATAGTACATTCACAGAAATATGTGCTAAAGAATAGAAAAGAAACCAGGTTTGGGTGTAAATACAAAAAGTTATAGGTTCATTAGTCATTCATTAATATATTTCTTCATTCCACATTAATTTCAGCCTCCCTGTGTGCTAACTCAGCTAAAGAATTAAATGAGTAATGATCTTGTGTGTAATTTTTAGGAAAAAGAATTTGTGCTGGAGAAGGCCTGGCCCGCATGGAGCTGTTTTTAATCCTGACCACCATTTTGCAGAATTTTACCTTGAAACCTCTGGTTGATCCAAAGGATATTGACACCACCCCATTTCACAAAGGCTTTGGCACTGTACCACCCTTCTATGAGCTTTGTTTCATCCCAGTCTGATGAAATGTCTGGCTGCTAGATTGCAGAGCAAGGCTGTTCAGTCCCATGTGAAAAATGCAGATGATTCCTTGCCTGTGTGTCAACCATTATCTCCTCCTATCTTAATAGGAGGAAGGCCATCTCTGAGCCCTATCTCTTTTGATTGTATCCATCCTTCAAAATCCATTCCAATTTTCCCTGTATGAAAGAAAATTTATTGTTTCATTTCCAATAAAATTATGTTTGTAACACAATCTTAAGATCATATGCTACATTTTATCTGTAGTCATATGAAATGGAAAGCACCCGATAAATGCCATATTTTGCTTTGCTACCACAAATGAGAAATCAGAAATTATTGCGTGAGATTTTAAAAAAATGTTGAAAGTATTAAAACATGAGCTTTATTAATCTCTCACTCCTATCTAACTGTCTAGGCAAATGATCTCTTGACAGATTAGCTTGTATACTTTCTTTTTTCCCCCAGTGGCTATTAAAATATAATTACATGTATATATATGCATGTGTTGAATATATATGTTGTGTATGTGTTTATTTTAGCATGTATGTGCATGTGTATAAATGCAGGGAGAAAAGAAAAGAAGGTCACTTTAGCCAAAGGGAATGACATGATATAAACTTGAATTAGCCAGTCTGTCCAAGGTTATCCATTCTTTTCTCCCCCAGTGGTTAAATACACACATACAGGGACACACACAGATGTACAGACATATTAAGGCAAAGAAAAGGGGAACATGTATTTGAATATACACAAACAGAAATATGTGTGTATGTGTGTTTATGTGTATATGTAGAATATAGCTGTGATTTGGAGGTGACAGTTGTATAGTAACATATAGATATTTTAAAAAGTGACATAAAGAAATGTAGTTCATAATGTCCTCTTTAATGGCTCTTCCTTATTTTCAGAATTATTTCCAGCTTCAATGATGTTTAGATTATTTTTGAACTGTTGTTTACTACAAGTGCTGCTACCTGCATACATCTTATATTCTTATATTATTTCTTTAAGGTGGTTTTATAGATAAAAATGGCTGCACCATAATGTATATAATCTTTTACTTTTCATAAATACTGGAATATAGTTCACTAAAACTTATATATGTGTTTACTTTTCTAACATGAGTATAATAGAAAGAGTATTTCCCCAAATCTGTGTAAATACTGAAGATTGAATTCTTTGATAATTTTAGCAATTTTGGGTTACCTTTCATGGAGTTTTCAAATAGTAAATCCTTTCATCTGCAAATAATGTTTCACTGTAACAATGAGAAGTTTTAAGAAATAGCACCTACTGCAAATCTTTGTCAATATCTGTTTCTGTCTCTGCTGTTTCCTCTCAGTTACCCATTTCTCTCTCACATAGACATGCAAATATGTATTTTTATGGAAACTGATAAAAGTTGTAAAGATTTGTGGAGACAGAATAACAGACAGTTTAGGAAATTCGTTTGGCAAGCCCGATATTTTATGTAATTTATCTGTTGAAATGATTGCTGATTTGAAATCAGTAGCTGAAAGGCTGAAATTCTGGCTATAAAATTTCATTTAGAAACTTTAGAATTGGGAAATAATTTTTGGCAAATTCCCAGAGTTAGAGGAAATTTAATGGAGTACAGAACTTTTCAAGTGAGAAAGACCAAGTAAGCACTTTTATTTCAGTTGAAGCCTAAAGGCCACATGAAGGGTTGCAACCAAGGATTAGAATAAACCTGCAGTTGAAAAGGCCTCATTATAAGGCTATAGTCTTGCTTTAAAAGTATTGTCATATCTTTATGACATAAAAGAGAAATGGTTTTCTTCTTTTTAGCATGGAAATACTTTACGAAGCCATTTGCTGGGTGACTGTGTGATGGCCTTGTGGTTTGGATTTCATGATTTTTGGTGTTCCTTTGAAGGGTTCCAGATATAACCTATACTAAAGAAGAGGAAAACTTCTCCAGTACATTCCATGATCTGACCTTGATTTGAAAATAGTTCTAAGTGTAATAGAAAAAAGATTTATCAAAATAGTGCACTACACTTCCTATAAAGCAAGTTCTAAACACAAGACTCAAAGAAAGAGTCACGCATATAACTCAAAGAAAGGCTGGAGGCCAGTCATGGTGGCTCATTCCTTTAATCCCCACACTTTTGGAGGCTGAGGTGGGAGGATATCTTGAGTCCAAGGAGTTCAATTACCGAGCCTGTGAAACATAGTGAGGATTTCCATCTCTTACCAAAAAAAGACAAAATTAGCGCAGGTATGGGTGGTTTGGTCCGTGTAGTCCAAGCTACTTCAAGAGGCTAATGGAGAGGAACTTGTTGAGGCTTGGAGTAAAGCCCTATTAAAGTTGTGAGCTTTTCTTCACACTTTTCTTTCTAGGGGGGTAAAGAGAGAGGGGGATAAGCCCCGGTAGACTGTTTTAAGTCCGTAGATGAAAGCATGGGAAGCCATAGTAGCACCTGGGAAGGGCATTGCAGGCCGAGGAACTGTAAGCACAAAGGCTTATGTGGTTGTTTTGTTCACAGGCCCAGCAGGAAGGCTAAGTCTAAGTGGAGCAGGGTGAGTCAGGCGTATAGCCGGAGGAGATTTTTTAATCTCTTGGAGAGGGGAAGGCTAGACACATGGTTTTAGGGCCTTTGTCCATTTTGTGATAAACATTTATTCTTCAAAATAGTTGAATTTGATTAAAGTTGTATTTTGCTATTAAAACTGTATTTGATTCTAAATCAGTTGAGAATACATAGAGTTACAGCAGTGACAGGGTCTGATTTGGTGTGTGTTAAAATATTACTCTGGACTGAGCATTGGTTACTCATGCCTGTAATCCAGTGTTTGGGAAACCAAGGAGGGAGAATTGCTTGAGGCCTGGGGTTTAAGATTTAGCCTATGCAGCATGCAAGATTCTGTCTCTACAAAAAAATGATGGCAAAATTAATGATACATGGTAGTGTGTGCCTGTAGTTCTATCCACTGGAGGCTGAGGAGAGCATTGCTTGAGCCCAGGAGTTTGAGGCTGCAGTGGAGCCATGATCATGCCACTGCATTCCAGCCTGGGCACCAGACTGAGACTCCATCTCTAAAAAAATAAATTAAAAAGAATTAAAGGCAAAGTATCACTCTGCCTTCAGATTAAACATATGACTGTCCTGGGCCTAAGAATGACAGCAAAGAAACCAAATAGGCAGCTAGTCAGCCGTGTTGGTAAGGGATGGGATGGCTTAGACAGTGGAGCCCAGGGTAAAAGAGGCCTCATCACTCTGCACATCTCATCCTATGCTGAAGCACCCAGAATGACAGAAGGAAAGTGTGAGAGGCAAGGCCTGGCTTGCCCAGTCCCTGAGCCTGAACATCGACAGATCACAAAGTACTTGCATGTTCCATCCTCACAACCAACCCTGTGAACCAGGCAAGGAAGGTACTATTGCCTGTGTGTTATAGGTGAGGAGACCCAAGCACCTAGTCATGAGAATTAGAAGGCATTTATAGAGACAGAGAAAGCACTTTGAGATAATCAGGAGTGAAGAACACTGTGATTCTTGCTCATGAAAGGAATGCATGTGGCTGGAATGGAAAGGATCCAGCTGAGATTTTAGCGGACAGGTTATGGTTGGCACTTTTCTTCTCAATTTTCTGTGAACATAATGTTGTTTATGTAATTTATAATGAAAGAATGCGTTCCCATTCTATTGGGTTAGGCCACAAGGTAATTAAATTACTGAAGCTATTTGAAACAAGAGCCCCCAATTGCACTGAAGCAGCACGCAGCTAACTACAAAGACACTTCATTTTCACCGTGCTGGCGGGTCTGTGGCTGAGTTTGGATACGGCTTTGTTCATTGGGATAATTTGTGTCAATCCTGTGAATCAGGGATGTCTTTGCCTGGAAGATGTGCCTGGTGAAGTTTCTTCTAACTTCAGACATTTCCTAATGAATTTCCAAACATTCTTTACAACTTAGACCGTGCTCAGCCTGCAAGTAGCCTCATCGTTGGCAAAGAATGCGAACTTTACAAGATGCTTCAAGAGAAACAGGAGTTGAATGAGCTCCTAAAACAGTCTGTCTTTCCTGGCTTTGCAGGAAATTCTGGAGTCTGGAAAACCTGCAGTCAGGCTGTCATTCAAGGTCAGGTGTAAGAGTCAGTCATTGTGGAAGAACAGGTGAACACAGCCTGGATTAGGTGGAAAGAGCACGGTGTGATTTGGAGGGCACGGGCTTTTAAAATGAAGAAAGTGAGAGAGAGGGAGAAAGAGAGAGAGAGAGAAGAGAGAGGAAGAGAGAGATTGAGCTCACAAACCACACTCTAGTGGTGGCTGAGGAGTGGGAGTGGGAGTGGGTGAAGACCATGGGTGATGAGAAGCAGAATGAGATTGAATCAGTGCCCAGTGAAGACAGGTGCCAAGTTTCCTCTGGGGCCATGTCTTTGGTTTTTCTCTGGGGGAATGTCCTCTTCAGAGCTTGAGAGCCCTAGTGTGGCCATGTTCTTACCATGTGACTTTAGGCAAATCTCTGAACTTTCTGAGGCCTGTTTCTCTGTCTGTCCATCAGGATAAAAATCCTTCCTCCTACAATTTTTATGGATGTCAAATGTCACAAATTGTGTGAAACATCCATCACCAAGACCAACTGGGTGCCTTTTATTATTGTGATGTTTTCAAATCTCAAGAGGCTCTCCTGTATAATATATCATATACTCAGTGATGGTATATAGTATATGGTATAGTACACTATAATCATATATTTATTATGATAATATTCAACAGATAGCAGTAAAAGTATCTTCACTTAACAACAATGGCATATTGTGAGAAAGTCTGACAGGTGGATGTATTGAATCAGGGATGCTTTTTCCCCACTCATAAACCTGACCTGTGGATCAGCAGTTCTCATGCTCTGCTCCTCCCTGGTGGTTTCTCATTAACACCTCCGTGATACTCATTGGCAAACGTTTCCCAGACAGCTGGATTTGCATCCTTCCCTAGTTTCTGGATGCCCCCAGCTCTCCACACTCTCTCCCTTTCTTGAGGCTTGGCCATCTCACAGGAAGTCTTGCTTTCTATGCTCTCTTTACCTCTCTCATGGGCACCTGCAAGAGATAGTTCCGTGCCTCCCCTGGGGTGGGGGGTACACCTCTGTGATTATGTGTGTGTGAGACCTGCCTTTGTAAAGGAATTGACATGTCGGCTGAGAGTTTATTTCCTTCTGGAAGAAGAAACTCCCTCCTCAAGGTCCACAGCTGAAGATTCAGCTTCCTTGGGAGCCCTTTCTGAGTAAAAAGTTCCTTTCCAAACACCTGAGACCTGAGCTTCCTCTCTATTTGGGTGGGTTCTTTAGAGAGAGTGGCAATTTACAACCATAGGAAATTAGGGGGAAAAAGTGCTTCTTTCATGCTGAGATGATATTGTTCTACCAGCACTTTCCTCCTTTGCTTGGAGTACCTGAGCAGCTGGG